ACTGTTGAAAATGGGTACTACGTAGGTGTGCAACAAAATAGTTTGTTGTGCGCCCTTGCAATGTTGTTGACGTTCCCAGACGCCTGCGGACAGAGTATGCAGATGAAGAAAAGGTGAATTGGACATGTTGGTCTGCCACAGCTTGGGCCAGTGACAACACCTCCTCGTGTATATTCGGCGCGTCGGCGCGACCTCCAGTGCGAATGCCATGCTAATCGTTTCGTTCCTTCGTCTTGTTGTCCCTGTCCTTTTCCGCGCGAAACGTGGTCTATTCGCAGACCAACAATTACGTGAACCTTTGCACCACGCCATCACTCCCGGGAGCGAAGGACACGCGGAAAGCGCATCAGGTGGAGAAGACGAGGACTCTCGGCATGGTAACGCTGCCCGAACCCGCATTCGAGCGGAAGCACATCTAAGGTATGCTTGGCATCACGATCACGATGGGGCTCACGAAGAAAACGCGCATGAAGAAGCACTGGAGTAGGTCGCTACACGACGACCATCCTTTAGTGAGGGAGTGCATGTCGCGCGACTTGTTCGAGCTGCTGTACTGCCGTTTCATTCACTGCTCGGACGGCAACGCTCCTCCTCGTTGAGCTGGCGAGGACAAGACCCCGAACCCAAAGTTCGATTCGAAGTGGCACATCAGGTTAGTTCAAATCCTCCTTGGACTTCAGGCCTTCTGACTGTAATTTGATTGATTTTTTTCCAACAGCTGGTATGGTAGCAAGTCGTGGAGTTGCCGACGTCTCTATCCCTCCACTTGGAGTATTGGCAAGTTCTTCGAGCTGTGGTAGTGTGTTAATGCGAAAAGAAGGAACTCTAGAGAGTCGGCGGGCTTACACTCGCGGGTGACAGAGAAGTACAAAGTCAAGTTTATGGGTTGGGGGTTAGGGTTAGAGATACTGAAAATATAGTTGGAGGCCAGCCGCACCGCGACGCAAGAACCCTTGGGTGACCCTACGAGATGCCACTGCCCTGTCGCGGGCTGCCCTAGTAGCGAATAGGTGGAGGTAGTTGTGGCGTCTACAAAAGTACACTTGCCTTTATTCCTGCACTTCTCCCTCTCTCCCGCACTCTCTCCGCCCTTTGTCTTTTGTGTGGTGAAAAACAAAATGTAGAAACGGAACCTGGGACTGGCAGACCGGCGAGTAACGTAGCTCCTAGACCCAAAAGGGTTCAGCATGTCGTGCAACAAAAAGTACATATCATTGTCCTCCGCCATCCGCCCCCCGCGTCGAATACTGGAGGTTGGCACCATCTTACGGTTGGGACTATCATAGCAACGGTTCGCGTGGTTAGTGTGTAAATCACAGGGTGTGCGTTCGCATGTCCATTGATGTCCCACACATTTTTCACACCATTGTAACTAACGCAACACCTCCTTGCAAATTTCTGTCTTTCATTTCTTGACGTCGCTTCACCGGCAGAGAGCTGGAAGACATCTTGAACAACGCATGGACGGAAAACATGGACTTCAACCAGTGGCTGTGCTACGATGAGCAGATGGTGAAGACCGTGTCGACGTTCGCGCACTACCTCATGAGACACAGCCCCAAGAAGCCCATCACCCACGGTACGGGTTTCGTGTATGGTGTCGTATAGGCTATCCCTAGCGAGTCTGATCCTGTTTTGGTGCCGGACATCCGTTGGGAGGACTCGGTGGATAGTTGGTTACAGTTTGTTGTTGTTGTTGTTGTTGTTACCCACATTTGCTCTATAGTCCACAAAAATGGGAGCCCGTGGTCGCAAAAACCCGGCACGTGCGACCCCGCGAGGAAACAAAACAAGAACAGGGTACAAACCACTCGGAACAGTGTCGAGACCTTGTATCATGTTCGGTTTTGAAGAACCTCATGTAGTGGGAATTGTGTTTTTTTAGTTGATCCCGCCCACCTTGCGTGGACAATGTACAACAAATACTTGGTAACTCCAAATGATCTGGGGAGGGATGAATGGTAGTGGTGTTCGCCAATGAAGAAACGACACATACACACGCTCAGCAGTAAAGCTCGCACTCCATCGTCCACACTCGCAACGTGTCCATTCAGTGGCATTCAGATTGCATGTTCCGTCCCAGTGATGCCATTTTTAGCGGAACATTGCGGCATCCCCTCGGGGATGCATAGGTCTCAAGTACGACCTCTGCATCTGCTTGTTTTCCTGGAGGGGGGGGGTTGATATCACAACACAATATTCGCCGGGGAACTCAAGGCCGCCCATGATGCCTGTAACTGGGCCACCCACGATGCCCTCGTTGCGTGCGTGTGGTGATAATCCGTAGGTTACATGACATGTCACGCCCGTTGGGCCGATTTTCAACGCCGGTTTGTTCCACTGCGAAAGCAATTGCGTTGCCCAACAGGGGGGACACTGGAACCGTCTCGTCGATACCTGTCCGAAAGTCTTTCGAGCTTGCATCGTCTCATTGAGTGCAAACGCTCAATCCACGCGTGAGCTGTTGGCGCGCCGCCTTGACAATTTGTTCCATCGTCCTTCTCTGCTCATGTTGTTGAAAACCCAGGCATGAAGCTGTTCGCGATCTGCGACATCGAGGGGTATTGTTTCGTCAGCAGCGTAGACGGTGGAATGAACGGGGACCCGAAGCTGAGGGTTTGGTTCGACTGCCCACTGGGGCGGACCACTCGCCACGTCCTACATGTCCTACTCGGCGCCTGCAAGAAGTTCGGTGACAAGATCGACGGCTCTGGCGTGTACATCGCAATGGACAACTACTTCACAAGCCCGACCCTATTCGAGTGTCTCGCGAGCCACGACATCTTCGCGGTGGGTACGTGCCGGTCAAACCGAACGGGTGGTGCCGTGCCTTACTTGCAGAGCCTCGATCGCCGCCCCGTCGAAAGGGGAGAGATGCACTTTGCCCGCGCCGGCAATGTCGCATTCGTGCAGTGGCTAGACTCGAAGGAAATCATTCTGTGCAGCTCCATCCACATCGCCCAACCTCACGCCGCCATCGGGGAGCCCAAGAAGGAGGACAGCGACGGCGGCGATGACCACTTCGCACCTCTACCGTACAGGTAACCTTTCATTTTCGTTGTTCCCTAGATTCATGTCGATCGCTGTGTCGGGTGTTTCGCTCGTGTAGCCGTCGGTAAACTGGTTCGTCGTGTGATGGAGTCCTCGGTTTCGTGCTTGACAACATGAAGCGATTCGCGTTGGTGCCTTTCTTATTCGGTTCATCACACACGTTGCTTCCACCGGTCGGGAAGGTACTCGGGGCTTGTGTATTGTTTTATTGATAGGGCCTGACGCCCCCTTTCCAGTGCGTGGTTCCTGCTGTGGAAAGTGTGTTGCCTAACCCAGGTGCTTCGTCTGTCCCCTACCATCCCGTCCCCATCCGTTCATGTTCAGTCTGCGCAAAGCTGGTCAGGCTGGGAAAAGCTTGGAGCTACAGCAGCCGTGGATGCGCAAGGATTATGTTGCCAACATGGGGGGAGTAGACACGGCTGACCAGCAGAATGGGTCCCACACCCATGACCACAAGTCGTACACGAACCACTGGCGACGAGTGATGGAGGGCAAGTTTGAGCAGACGTTCACCAACATTTTTGTGATGTTCAAAAAGTACGTGTCCCTCTTGGAGGATGAGGCCAACAAGAGGATCAAGGGAGGAGGCCTAGAGCTTGAGGTGGTGGAGAAGTTGGATAGGGTGTTGGTCGAACTGGGCAGGTTGGCCAAGATGGAGAGGGCGGTCTGGGACGAAATGTTGTCGACGGAGCTCATGGCGAGGTGCAATGTTGGTAGACCGAACAAGGGGGGGAGACCGGCGGCGGTGACGGGTGCCCCGGACAAAGTGTGGGGGAGCATTTCGGTGAAGACTCAACGCAAATGCATGCACCCCGGATGCAAGAGTAAGACATCGAAAGGGTGTGCCTGCGCGGAGCTTTGTGTTGGCAAACAGGCAGGGGACCGGGGTGTTTTGATGTGCCAGACATGCTTCAACAACCCTGTGAGACACGCTAGGGCCGGAGATGCTCATCGGAACCCCCACAAGTACGGGGTGGTGGGACGCAAGGATCTCGTCTGGTGGTCGTGAGCGCATTTTTTATTGGCCTAACGTTTTACGTTGAATGTGACATGTGTTCCTGGCAGAGGAGACGCGGATGTGTTTCGAGGGTGCTCCGTTGTGATTTGCCTGGGGGTCAAACTGATCGAACAAGTGCATAGTAGTGTCGTTCATCAACCATCTTCCCTTCCGCGAGGGNGACATGCTTCAACAACCCTGTGAGACACGCTAGGGCCGGAGATGCTCATCGGAACCCCCACAAGTACGGGGTGGTGGGACGCAAGGATCTCGTCTGGTGGTCGTGAGCGCATTTTTTATTGGCCTAACGTTTTACGTTGAATGTGACATGTGTTCCTGGCAGAGGAGACGCGGATGTGTTTCGAGGGTGCTCCGTTGTGATTTGCCTGGGGGTCAAACTGATCGAACAAGTGCATAGTAGTGTCGTTCATCAACCATCTTCCCTTCCGCGAGGGAGTTGTTGTGCCTTTATCGTCCACTTGTGTTTTCTTGAAAACAACGGTGGACGAGTGATAGTTTTTGTGCCTTCGTCGTTTACCTGTGTTGCTGATAACAGCAGTGGTATAGCTTTTTTTTATTTCATCAGATCTTGTCTCAGATCTTCTGCAAGTTCAGAAAAAGGCGTATTACTATTTTCCGGCTCGAACGCAGCATTCATACAAATACGCTCAGAAACAATAGCTTTTTCGGCTGCGAGTCTTAAATTCATAAATTTTTCCCGCTGAAATAAGCTCACATCATACACCCTCAAATATCACGACAGGACGGCATCCGAAATGGCCGCTGGCACGGGTTCATCCCCCGGCCACACCGCGCGGCACGCCTGGGTGAAGCAGTCACTCCTCGTGATCTGCATGCCACGACCCCTTGCATTCATCTGAATGCTCGTGTCGAACGAAGCCTGCACGTTGTGGACGGTTAAAACATGGAAGTCGGGTTGTTGGTTACAGAGTGTACTCCAGTGCCTTGGTGGAAAACGGAGAGCTAACGAACGACAGCATCGATAGCCTGTGAGAGACGGACGCGTACACGCAATGTGGACGTTCCTCCTTTCGGACTACATAAGAGGATATTTTCGGTCCCTCGACAACGGCGTTACTCCTTCTGCCTTGAACAGAGAAAACTTTGAAGACTTTGTGACTACGACGTACTCTCCCCGTTCCATAATACGGAAGATACCACCCTATCTTTCGGCATGCCCCGGGGTATCGACGTTTTGGGCACCATATGTATGTGTTTCGACAGCATTGCTGGGGAAAACCCACAGTCACATAAGGGTTAAGTGCGGGCCGGCACTGAATATACCGCAACACGGCACAACTGATCCAAAGAGCAACCACAACAACAACACTGCAACGCGGCACAACTGATCCGAAGAGCCTCGCCGACTTCTAGTGTATGAGTAACCCAGCGTACCTTTGTCGGAAATCGGACGCCTACGCTCCTGCTTCGCCCTCTGTCGACGTTGATGTATGGTGAGCACTGCGCGGATCTCGCCGCTTGCTTGGCAGGGTTTCCAGGGGGGGGGACACGTTTCCGTTGGAGGCCTCGTTTTCCATATATTTCCTTTTTTTTTTTGCTGTGCCCAGTGCTGTTTGTGGTGAGGCACACAGGGCCGGTCAGCAGTCCGTCTGCACCCCGCCCTTCGGTCGAGCGGTCTGCAGTCCCCCCTCTTGCGGCGCGATGTCGGGCGTTACCTCGCTACCAGAGCAGAAATAACGAGATAACAATAGCAGCAGGGCGAGGGGGAGAGGAAAGGACAGGGAGAGAGCGGGTGAAAACTCGCGGAGAGGTGAGACCTACCTCTTACGCTGTGCCGTGCTTTGAACTGGTGCTATATGTATCTGCATGTAAGGCCCACGGGATAACGTTGTGCCGTGCTTCAAACTGGTGCAAGTTTATCTGTCTGTAAGGCCCACGGGACAAGCTGCACGTGGTGGTGCCCGCGTGTTGATGCGGTGCTGAATATCAGGTTGAAGTGAACATTGTTGCAGCCGAAGCGTGAACTCGTACAGGTCTTTGTGACTGCGAACGAAGGCCCGAGGTTATCCGTCCGTTTTTCTAGACCAACGGGGAGCAGCTGTACGAGTTTTGAGATCAGCCGTCTTGGTGGAGGCAGGAAAAGCAGTGGCGTTGACTCGACCGACCACCAACTGACGGTTGGTTTCTTTCGAATTTCGAACCACCACAGACATCAGCGGCTGCGCCGTAAGTCGGGAGGGATGCACACACACCTATCTACCTACTCTGTGCTGAGGAGAAGGACATCATCAGCACTCAACGAGCAAATACATAGGCAACGGCCCGTTTTGTGTACAATGAGAGGATGCAGCAGCAGCATTACCATGATCTCCTGCTGTGTTGGGTGTTGGCTGTGCCCTTTTTTCCGTTGAGAAAGGGTGTTTGTCCTCTTTGCCTCCCTCTCCACCGTATGCTTTCCACACAATCCTGGCTCGTCGATATGATGTCGATTGGTAGATGGTGTATGCAAGATGCCCAGCAGAGGCGATACACACGTGCAACATCTGATCTGTATCATCACCATACTAATATACACACCGGTCGCCCCGGTGGTCTTGTGGGTAGCCTCGCAGCCTGCTAAGGGCCAGGTCATGGGTTCGAGTCCCGGCAGAGAGAGATTTTTCTCACTAAACAAATCCTGGTCTAGGATGAAAGCGACGCGCTGCAAAGCTGGTTTGTTAGTACACCATAATCGACTTCGTAAGTCGCGAGGGAAGGGATTGCTGTACCCTTCTCGCGATAAAAATATCTCAGGCATGAAGCGCAGGAGGGGGTCCAACCCCCCCCTCCATGTGACCCCGGTCGGGTCGTCTAGCTAGTAGAAGTGGAGGATAGGGGCTAGAGGGGCAGACGGCAGAGTCCAATGATGGGAGGAAAACAAACAAAAAAACAAACAAACATATATTTTTATATATCCTCCTACACTACAAGCGTGCAATTGGTGCCCCGCGCGCGCAACACCTTCCACAACGACCTCAAACACAAATCCCAGGCGATTCTGGGGTACGGTAGCGGGTTCGGTTGAACATCAGATGTGTAACAGAACGTCCGGGTTTAACAGAGGTGAACTGGCTTGCCACGGCCAAAATCGGCTCAGCAAAAAAAACGTCTTTCTTCTGTGATTTTCTGTTAAATCGAGGCCGCGACAGGTAAAAATGGTTCGTCCAGTGGGTGATTGAGTGGATTTTCTCTTGGATGCTGGAGCACCCGTGGGCTCGGGTTGTCTTTCCACCAGAGCTGCGAGTAGCAGCACATCTATGACAAGGCAACAAAATTACAGAGGTCGGACGCGTAATTTGTTTCCCAATACGCTGTACTACCACCGCTTTTTATGGAGGCACAATGATGCCAGAAAAGCTGCAAATTTTTCCTACAGCTTTTCTTCCGAACTTTGTCGATGGAACTTGTGATGCACGCTCGTTATGGGACGAAGAAAGTATTGTGCACGGTACTGGCGGAATGCGGAGGCATGATTTTTTTTTGTCACAACGGCGACAACAAGGCACGCGCCCTTTTTATTGCACCACGAAAGCACCGGTCAGAGCGTGTGGGAGAGGTTAGTTGCAACCGTTTTTCTCCGCACTCACGATACCCCAAGCCATCAAACCTGGTACCACAACGATGCTGGGTAGAGCTAGCTCCCTCGGGGTGGCATTGCTGTTGCTGTTGCCTTCTCCTTCGAAAAGTTATCGCTGGAAAACCAGTCCATAAACACACAATCCCTGCGAACTTGAACCAACCGCTCTCTGATGTGGGTACTGCTGTAGGGTCGATCAAAACGTTTTTCCCGATGCGCACAATATCCCACGGCGCCAAACCTTGGGCATGAAAGATGGAGCAGAGAGCTACCTCCCACCGAGTGGCCTTGCTATTGCTGTTGCTTCCTCGGGAAAGTTATCGGTGGATAAGCAAACCCGTGGCGGTCAAAAACATCGAGCTTGAACTAACCGCTCGCGGCCGTTGACGGTTGTGCATAGCACAACCTTTTTCTCCCGGCGCGTTCAGCACCTCACGGCCCCAAACCATGGCATTGCCCGATGGCCCATGGCATCACCTCCTTCCAGATATCATTCATGAGGCAACTCGTGAAGTATTCGTCGACATATCGGTGATCACGATCTTCTCCAATCGAAGCTGGAGAGGGTCTATAACGTGTGCGGTAGAGGTAGCAGCTTGACGTGAACCGGTATAATTTCCGCCGTGCAGCATTTCCCGCCCCTTGCTGACTCGAGAAAAGCTGCAAAACCTTTCGGCCAGATTGCAGCTTTTTGCTCCGGGAAAAGTTGCAGACCTGTTCGTGCAACTTTAGTTCCAATTCTGAGCGTACATCAGCAAAGCTCCAAGAAAAGTTGCAGAAACGCAGCATTTTTTTGCTAACACCGCTTTTTGTGGCAACACTATGTTGCCAAAATAGTTGCAAAGTTTTTCTGCAAACGTTTTCTGCAACTTTGCTTTGGATGTCAGGCTGAGTCTTACGGCGTGATTATTTCCGGGTTGGATTTGGGGGGGGTCTTTTTCTGAGCCAAACAATAATTTGGGTTAGGGTTGGAAAAGGAAAATTCCAACAGCGTTTCCGGCCGGCCTGTTTGAAAGTTCGCCCATTTTCGATCAGCGATCCTGTCGGATTATCGCTAAGAGGAAATGGGGGGGGTGCACCCTCTCGCCCCTGTCGCCCTGGTGGTCTAGTGGTATCCTCGTAATCCGCTTGTCGCAGAGGTCGTGAGTGTGAATCCCCATGGGGTGAAAAAAATCCGAAATGTGCGACTGAAAGCGAAATATAGCTAAAAATCTCTCGTGAATACCAAACTTCGACGTTAGCACCGTTGACGAGGGAAAGGGACGGCAGGACCGTTCTCGCGATAAAAATAAAATTCAGCACGCACCGCAGGAGTAAGGTGGGGCATGACAACAAATAAAAATAATTCAAAAGCCCTGGTGTTTCTCCCATCCTGTGTTTTTTTTTGTTTGTTTCTCTCCCATCATTGGACTCTGCCGTCTGCCCCTCTGGCCCCTATCCTCCACTTCTACTGGCTAGACGACCCAACCGGGGTCACATAGGAGGGGGGGGTGGACCCCCCTCCTGCGGTTCATGCCTGAGGTATTTTTATCGCGAGAAGGGTACAGCAATCCCTTCCCTCGCGACTTACGAAGTCGATTATGGTTTACTAACAAACGAGCTTTGCAGCGCGTCGCTTTCATCCTAGACCAGGATTTATTTAGTGAGAACAAAACTCTCCCTGCCGGGACTCGAACCCATGACCTGGCCCTTAGCAGGCTGCGAGGCTACCCACTAGACCACCGGGGCGACCGGTCGTGTGACCCTGGATGGTTGTAGTTGTACGAAAAAATACACTGAAAAGTGTAGTACTCTACATGAGCTGAAAAAAAAGTGTAGTACGCGTCTCACAACGAAAAATGGGGGGACTGTCGTCATAATAAATAGGGCGAAAACACACACATCACCCCCTGGTCCCACCCCGATCGTGCTATAACGAGGAACTACATCGTCTGTTGCCCAAACAGAGGCCAGTATCATGAGGTCTTGCACAAAACCTCTGCAGGTATCTACAATTCAGGGCGTTCCGCGTCGAGTTGGCCGCACATTGCTTTGCTGACGTTCTTGCCTCTCTCCGCCGAAAAGAGCCGTTTTTGCGCCTGCTGCATTCATGACCAGTTCAGAACGCACGCCAGAGAGAGGCTTTAAGCCGTCGACATCCGCTAACTGCAGCCAATGGCGTGTGGTCATAATCATTCCCTCTGCTCGCGTACCAGAAACAGAGCGTATTGTCCAGTTTTGATTGCACACGGCCTGCAAACGTGAACCAAAGGGTGTTGCGGTGTCCACTTTTTGGGCTTTTTTTTTTTCCGCCGCGTGTTTGCTTCGTGTGTCACCCGCGACCAGCCAAAAACGCATGCCAGAGAGAGGCCTTTGGCCGACGACATTCCCAAACAGCAGTCAGTGGTGTGTGGTCATACGTATACCCTCTGCTCGCGTCCCAGAAACAGAGCGTATTGTCCAGTTTTGATTGCACACGGCCTGCAAATGTGAACCAAAGGGTGTTGCGGTGTCCACTTATTTGGCTTTTTTTTTTTCCGCCGCGTGTTTGCTCCGTGTGTCACCCGCGACCAGCCAAAAACGCATGCCAGAGAGAGGCCTTTGGCCGACGACATTCCCAAACAGCAGTCAGTGGTGTGTGGTCATACGTATACCCTCTGCTCGCGTCCCAGAAACAGAGCGTATTGTCCAGTTTTGATTGCACACGGCCTGCAAATGTGAACCAAAGGGTGTTGCGGTGTCCACTTTTTGGGCTTATTTGTTTCCGCCGCGTGTTTGCTCCGTGTGTCACCAGTGACCAGCCAAAAACGCATGCCAGAGAGAGGCCTTTGGCCGACGACATTCCCCAACAGCAGTCGGTGTGTGGTCATAAACATACCCTCTGCTCGCGTCCCAGAAACAGAGCGTATTGTCCAGTTTTGATTGCAAACGGCCTGCAAATGTGAACCAAAGGGTGTTGCGGTGTCCACTTTTTGGGCTTATTTGTTTCCGCCGCGTGTTTGCTCCGTGTGTCACCCGCGACCAGCCAAAAACGCATGCCGGAGAGAGGCCTTTGGCCGACGACATTCCCCAACAGCAGTCGGTGTGTGGTCATAAACATACCCTCTGCTCGCGTCCCAGAAACAGAGCGTATTGTCCAGTTTTGATTGCAAAAGGCCTGCAAACGTGAACCGAGGTGTGGTTCGGTGTTCCCTTATTGGACGTTGCTGCTTTTTTCTGCTGCTTGCTCCGAGTCAAGTATGATCAGTGTACAACGCATGCCATCAGAGAGAG